AGCCAAGCACTGCAGGCGAGCTTTGGCTTGTAGGTGAGCAAAGCATGTTGGCGAGCTTGGCTTGACCTCTTGCTTGCTTTGAGCATGTAGACAAGCCCTACTTGCTTTGAGCATGTAGGCGAGCTCTAATGGGTGAGGTTTGAGCTCTCTTGTGTAGAGGCAATTTTTATTGCCTACAGATGTATCATAAAAACTATTGGGGGCAGAGGAATGATGTCGTTCATAATGTATTTAATGATATTTATTGTAAGGTGATTGGTCGCCAGTGCACAGGAGGGGGCTCGAGGCTCGAGGCATTTCGTCGCCTTTATACTTGTTTGGTGGTTGATACGTATTACCTTTTGAGTCTCCTTCACAAGATGTTAGCCAATTAGTCGATCGAGTGGGATGATTAAGCAGTCGACTCAGCCAGGGGTCGACACGTAACGCCTTTTGAGTCGTACTCGCAAGATGTTGGCATGTCAAGTCTACCGAATTGGACCTTTGGTTATCTTGAAGCGCTGAATCGATTACGCATTATGTGAGACACTTGTCCCCCATTGATTGGAGATTATTTTTATCACTAAAATTACTATAACACTCAATAAATTAAAAATTCCTAGACTACCCTTCATCCCTAAATACAACAGCTCTCTCACTCCCCCCCAGCTCGCATCTCTCCACTTCATTTCACTTTTCCAAATAGAGCCGATCTTCATAACCCTAAGAGGCAATTCTCAATTTGAAGAGGAAGGAAAAACAACATCAACGTGAGTGTGAGCCTGATCAAGTGCGTCACTGGCAAGGATTAGGATAGCCACGAGTGCCACAAGCACCACAAGCGCACCGCCCACAACATGTTATTGTTGTCACTGAGAAAGAAGTCGGATTTCACCCTCGTATCCAAGGTTTGATGCGGACTCCTCAAGTATTTCATAGCCAACCTGCAGGCTGTCTTCCTCAACACTAAGCTCTTAATCCTTTTCCCTACTATTCTCCTCGCTGTTGTTGCTTACTCCTTCAACTTCTGTGCAAAGTGTAGCACTTGTTTCCAAAGCGTGTCATTTTATTTATAAAATTTAGCTCTTTATGCCTGAAGTGAAGCTCTTTATGCCTGAAGTGAAGCTCTTTAATACTAAAGTATAGCTCTTTATTATCTCTAGAAATTCTAAAACTAAAAAAATCAATCAGTATTTTCTGAGCAACATAAATGTATGATGATGTATACAATATTATGTTTGATCAATTCTTTCTATAATTGACATGTCCCCTCTAGGTTATACAATTTCTAGGAAAAGTATAGCTCGCTATGCTGAAGTGTAGCTTGTTATGCTAAAACTGTAGCTCTTTATTCAATAGTATAACACTTTATACCTAAAGTGTAGCTCTTTAATGCTAAACTATAGCTCTTTATTGCCTCTGAAAATTCTAAAACTAAAAATAAACCGAATCAGTTTTTTTCGAACAATGTAAATGTATGATGGTGTATATAATGTGTTGTCTGATCAATTCTTTATATAATTGACAGGTCAACTCTCATTTATACAATTTATGGAAAAAGTGTAGCTCTTTATACTGAAGGATAGCACCTTATTATAAACATGTAGCTCTTTATATAATAATATAGCTCTTTATACCTAAAGTGTAGCTCGTTAATGCTAAAGTATAGTTCTTTATTGTCTCTTAAGATTCTCAAACTTAAAATAAATCTAATTATTTTTTTAACAATATATGATGATGTATACAATGTGTTGTTTGAGTAAAAATAAATCGAGTTGGTTTTTTTTATAAACAATGTAAATGTGTAATGATGTGTTGTTCGATCAATTCTTTATATAACTGACAAAACCATTCTCGATTATACAATTTCTAGGAAAAGTATAGTCATTTATACTGAAGCATAAAATCTTATAATAAAAGTGTAGCTCTTTATGCAATGCTATAGCTCTTTATTCGAAAAGTGTAGCTCTTTAATGCTAAAGCATAGCTCTTTATTATCTTTAAAAATACAAAAAATACATCGAGTTAGTAATTTTTTTGATCAATGAAAATGAATGACCATACATATAGTGTGTTGATTCTTCAATTCTTTATAACCAACATGTTTGGTCTCGTTTATATAATTTCTGAGTAAAGCATGGAACTTTATGCCAAAATAACACCTTATTTGTAAAACATAGCTCCTTGTATAGTTGTATAGCTTTTTATAGCAGAAGTGTAGCTTTTTATTGCTAAAATATAACTCTTTATTATCTCTAGATATTCAAAAAATAAATTGAGCCACTAATATTTTACTGCAGGAAATCGGTACATTTATTATAGTGTATAATTTGTATACATTCCTACTAGATGCACTGATAAATTTCTAATAAAAATTTTGATACAACACAATACATTGGATACTACTTGGTGCATTTGATACAATGCACACACAAATCATCTATACATACATAATATAGAAAATTTCATACAACACAATACATTGGATACTACTTGGTACATCATATTGTAGGCTGTAGTCAATCTGCCATTTGGGCTGCAATGTGAGAGCAATGTGAAGATCTGATAGAATGCCAATAGTGGGGGATTCTCTCAAGCATTTTGTCAAAAAGTTAATGTGCATTAACGAAAGGTTTCTGATTGAGGGTTAGTTGTGCATTTTGTTGGATGTTGGCGGCAATAGAGCACGACAAGGAACAACCAGAGGGTATAGGAAGGCATAGCAATAGGCTAAGGTCGTAAGCGGTGTACAAAACCTAACTTCTCTTGAATATTTCATCAAACGTCTCCATTGCCTCCTCAACCAACAGCAATATCGCAAAACCGCTAATCATTGTGGTCCAAATAACTATATCACTTTTGTCATTCCATCAAACACGTTCTATGCATCAACCTAGTCACCGAAACTTAGATATACATAAGCAAAATTGTTATGCACATGCCCTAGAAGCACAAGCTTGACAAAAACCCCTCAATTTATAACAACGAGACATCTTCGACAAGCTATTACCAAAAAACCCAAAATTTCAGAATGTTAACATATAGAATCTATGAATTTCCCATCACAAAACTCAAGTTTTCTCAAATCACATAAATTATCGCTTAAATCTCAATAACAAAAAGAAATCTACTGTACTAAATACCAAGAATGTCACTTTATTATTACTAAACAAAAAAAAAAAAAATTGTAGACATAACCAGCCTCAAAATTCATTGAGGTTCTCAAACTCAAAGCAATGAACTACTTCCCACTGGCCGGCTTCGAGAGGACCGGAGTGGGTTCCCGCGCCCTCTCCCAACCCCCCACCCCCAATGGAGGGCATCTGCAAAGAGAAGTGTGCGAGTTGGCATTGGACGCCATTGCAAGAGATCAAAACCTTAGAAATTTTAGGGGTTTTTTTTTATAGAGAGAGGATAATTAGAAAGAAGAGGCTAATTAAAAATAGAGAAATCGAGGCCTAGGTAATTATTAGGGAAGAAGAAGAAGAAGGGCAATTTCGAGATTTATTTTTTATTTTTTGTATATAGACATAGTGTATTTGATACTTTGGGTTTATAAATAAATGAGAGTTGTACTTTGGGTGTACGAATTGTACTAAAAGTAAGTGAGTTTAAAAATAAGTTGGAGTAAAACTTTGGGGTAAAAGACAAAAGCCACTTAATTTTATTTAGCGGTAATAGTTGTCAAAATTTCATCTAGGCCAAAAGAGCCAAAGAAAAAAAAAATGCAAAACAACGTTATATAGAGAAACAGCGCAATTTGGGCAAAGATAAAAAGAAAATTGGAGGTTTGTTTCATAACTTTTTTTTCTCCTTTGATATCACAATTTGATATCTTACTACTTAAATGTAATTTGACACTGACTGATAGAGTATTGATGAACTGTTTTATTATTATTTTAACATCAAGAGACTTACTACTTTTATTCAATGGTATAATATCTGTGAAAATTTCACCAAGGGCAAAAGAGCCAAAAAAGTCAAAACAATGTTCAATCGGATATGAGATATTTATTATTTAATCTTTTTTTACCGATTAATGGTCTTATTATTTGGTCCAATAAGAGACAATGAGCGAAGGTTATCTGTAAATAAATAGTCTAAAGATGTGATTGGGAGGAGTGATTATGTGCAATCTACAGTGGTACTCCTTCGTTCAAGTATTTAAAAAATGAAAATAAATGGGGAAACCTTTCATATTTGTTTATTGTAAATTTCTAATACCAAAATAGTACCTGATTCATAACGCAATTAGCATTTTGTTATCTTTAAAGCGTTAGCAAAAAAGCTATCCATCTTACGTACATCGTTATAAGCAAATAAATAGTTAGTAATTAAACATATAAAACTGTCTTGACATCTTGAGGGTGATTATTAATCTGATTAATAATCTTTTCTTTTAAGCAACAACCACATTAAAACTGTCAATGCTTTCAGTTCCCAAATTCACTTTAACCCTGCTCATTTAAAACTTTTTAGTGTAAATTTCACAAACAACCAATAAAGATTGGTATTTTTTCTAAGCCCAATAAAGTTGAAAATTTCACTTGATTTTAAATAAGTTCAGAAATTTCCACTTAACCCCCACGATGTTACATAAAATAGCGCAAACTTAGAATTTTGATAGAAGAAATCACCAAAAACAAACTTTCAAGATTAGGAGCTCGGAACTTGGAGTGAACGCAAGCAGAAAGAAGAGGAAAAATAATTTTAGGATGAAAATATAAAAGAGAATATACAGGATTTTTCAAAAAGTATGGGTATTTTCATCTTTTGACAGCATGTGATTAAAAGTTAAAACTAATAATTGACGTTAGCTTTGAGGGTTTTCGGATAGAACTTATTGGGGGCTTGGTGAAATTTTCAAATTGTTTGGGCGTTAACTTGAGGGATGGGTGAAAAGTTTTCAAACTTTATTGGGGTTCAAGTAAAAACGTCTACATGGGGTCGTGAAATTTACCCTTTTAGGTGAAGACGCTCGTACCTAAATATCATGAATAATAAATAATAATACTTACCGCTACTCAAAAGCTCATTATCTTCTTCATAATACAAAACAATACTCATATTACACCAACATTTGAAAAGCTAATCATCTTCAAACCCATTCATTCAATAAAAAAGAAACTTTTGGCTCAATTATTGTCACACAATAGTAAAGTCACACAACCACACTCTATCCTTTATGTCCTCTCTTATGTAGACCAACAAGTGCAAGCAGCAAAAGCACAACATAAGCAACACCAGCAACAAAAGATACAGCAACGGAGACCGTGACTTTAGCACAAAACTTGGTGTACACATTGCACACTTTTTTCCACCCAACATTCGATATTCCCCTCTCTCCGAAGCCAGAGAAGAGGAGGGCGAGCGCCGCTATGTCGGCGATGGAGATCAGAAGGCCTAGTCTGGTCTTTTGGCTCTTGGTTGATATTGATAATATGAGCGATAATAAAGAGTAGAAGGATACGATGGCGTTAGCGACGACGAAGTATCTGTGGAGGAAGAAGGGACATGAGAGAAATTAGATGGGATTTAATTAGTAGGTTATAGTTTCTAAAAAGTTCTAAGTTAAAAATGTATTTTTGCACGTACTAAGACATAATAATCTATACTATTAGTCGTTGTGCGCCATATCTTTAGAATACTGAAAATACCATTGCATCAGAAAAAATAATTGCAAATACTCTCACATTTAAAAACCTCAACAAAAATGCCCCCAAACTTAATAAAATGAAAAGAAATATCCTCACCCTCAGGGGAAAAAAAAATCATAGACCACATGCGTTTGGAAAAATGAAAAAAAATTCGACAAAAGTATACTCAAAAGCATGTGTATATGTTTTCTTTGACAATTTGATTACAATACTATTCTTGCTTTTTGTATCATGCACGTATCATATGCACCGGTGTATTAATGTTTATTTATTGTGAGAAGCTGTGACCTCTGATGGGTGTAATTTAATCACAGTGAGCCTAAGATTAACCCTGTAAGCCTTTTGTTGTCTCTTTTACGGCTTTACAGTTAGGCCCGTCATGTTTTGGGCCTGGACCCCGAACCGAGAGAGTCTGAGAAAATAAAGAGATTTCTTGACAACACACTGTTTTAAGTAAAACTGGGGTTCTCAATCCAGTATTAGTAGATAGTTTTAAAAGTAAATCCCTCTCTTCTAGCTTTGTTTACTGCCCACAAAATTTGACCCACACCTTTTAATTAAGAAAATAAAAGTGCAAGAACTAAGCACAAACTAAATCAGGATTTACATTTCATTCATGGAAATAAAAAACGATATAGTTTCTTGCTTGTGCTATTGAAGTTACTTCCACCGTGAAACATTATATCATATTCCTTAATTTGCAATCTATATACTTCACCAGACTCTCTTTGCTCATCTTTAGTTTACTACGAGTGCATATTCTATCAGAACACCCCGTAGAAAGGGGTAATCTATATCATTTTCAAGTTGCCGGGAGGTTAGATTGGTAACTATATATCTTTTCTATCTAAGATGATGCAAACCGCTCCATTCCTATACGTACATTTTCTCGATATTAGTCCCTTAAATCTTTCATATTTTGTATTAGTCCCTCAAATTGCCTGTTCTTAAATTAGTTGATAGTCCATCAGAGTTATTGAAATTATTAATTAAGTTTTTCAAATATCGTGAGTTGTTTCAAATTAATCCCACTAGCTAACTGCTAAGTTTACCTTCTGAAAGTGACTTATTAGACCATCTCCAACTGGCCTCTATATCTCCAAAATCTCCAAATTTGGAGAGTGGAACCTCGATCCAACCACTCTCCAAATTTGGAGATCTGCAAATTTGACCCTCTAAATTTGGAGGGTGGGGAGAAAAAAATGGAGGGTCTCTCCATAACACTATTCATGATTTATTAATTACAATTTTGTTATTTTTAACTATTTAATTTTTTAAAAATTACCACTTTGCCATCCTTCTTAGTAATTTAAATTAGATGTTTAATTTCAAATAAATATAGTTAAACAATTATTAATCTAATATTTGAAATCATTATATATTTGGAAAGGGCTTGTTGAGATATTTAAAATGAAACTAAGATTAATTTATTTTAGTATTATTATAAAATTATTAATTTTTAAATTAAATAAATAAGTATGAGACATAAAATTTTAAATACGGGGATCTATTTAACTAGCTCCATAAGAGGAGCTGTAGGACGACAAAATGAATATGAATTTCCCACTGGAAATCAAGGAGGATTTTCTCAATTTGCGGGAGAAGCTGGTTCTGTAGGAAGAAATGAATATGGGGGTTCATCGAGAGATCGGGATGGAACCGGTAGTTATAACGATAATGATCTGCCAGAATTTTAATTATCTCTTATCATATTTTATGTTTGAGACCTATGGTATGTTGTATTAGAGGTTAATATTTGCTTTCTTGTTCTATCGATGTATGCTTTCACTGTTATTTCAGAATTTCTTCTTTTTTAATATGTTGTATTGCAGTATTAATATTGGATTCATTTTAAAGCTCTCATCGACACCTTTATAATGTTATTAATTTTTTTCCAAATAAATTATTAACAATAAAATTATTAACAATAAAATTATTAACGTAAACTATATCCAACATTATTTAATTTATATGATTTTTTTGATAAAAAAAATTAAAAAAAAATATTTGGAGAGTGTAGGTTAGAGCAACCCTCCAAATTTCACCCTACAAATAGAATATTCCAATTTGGAGGGTGAAATTTGGAGGGTATGGTTGGAGATGCGGGGGAGGGAAAACACTTAAGACAAAAACTTTGGGATACTTTACACAAACGCAGAGCGGAGTTAGCCTAACTTAGGCCAGGGATCGCGACCTGCAACGGCCGCAGGCAGTCGGGCTATGGTGATGCCTAATGGTCTTGGTCTCCTCATCGATGCCCATCACTACGGCTGCAGTCACTGTGGCTGCAATTGCCAAAACTCTAAGGACCAAATTGCATTTATTCGACGACCCTTTCTCATTATCATTCTGTTGAGACTCCATCGTATATACTACGGAGAGAAATTAAGGGAGGGAGGTTTTGCTTTTTGATAGAACGAGACTTGGCTTATAAAGTTGTAGAGGATCGACATATTGTGATGAATACAGCCGGTCCTCATCTCACCAACATTTAGGTGAGGGATTTGCTTGTGGGATGAGTAGTTGTCGTTAGAGCCTGGCAGGGAAAAAGGCTTCTTTTGGTTTTTAAAGCTTATATTTTTACATTTAAACCCACATATTGGTTTAATTTGCTTAGGTTGTGCATGAAAATTGCAAGGATATTGCTGTTTGTTCTAGTCGTTTATGTGAGATGACGATAGAAGCTTCTTTTATATCAATTCTTTGGTAACCATCAAGAAAACCCTTCAAGTTTCATGACTTGTTAGAAAACTTCTTAACGTTATTTTTAAATTATAAGATTCTTACTGTTAAAATTGTTTAAATTAGAATATCAAAATATATATATCATGCACTTTGTTGATTTATTAAAAAGTTTAAATGCATTTGGAACTTATTCACAACCCGACTAGATCAATGAACAATTTCTTTACGTCAAAATAAGTAACGTATATTAACAATATCTTGTTATCATCAACTATCTCTTTAATTTATTTCCATTATTGACTGTAATACTTTGAGACTCTCCACATCAAAATGTCGCACTGCATATCCTTATTGATTTTGTACTCGGAATAAACAGAATGATAGTGTATTTCAGAATAAATAATGTACAAATGAAAATGCGCTTCGCCATCGAATTATATGATCATCGATCTTCTCTTTGGTGTAACAATAGAGATCTATATTAGTGTAGATGAGTCAGAGTGGTGGAGGGGCACCCTAACCCTGAAAATCTAAATTTGGTTGTTTTGTCTTGTATTTCTTCTTGTTAACTATTGCTATTGTATTTCTTTTGTTCATCTCCTTTCTCTTTTAGGTAATAATTTTTTTGGACGAAGAAACATATATATTCTAAATATGAAATATATAAAAAACATTACTTTGAATACTCTTGTAGTGCTTACTTTGCGGGTGGATAACTGCAAATATGCACATCTACGTAAGTTTGTGAGGTTTAATTAATTGCTAGAGGAATTAGTTGGCTGCTGAACGTTGGCATTAATGATTTTCTGGGAGAGTTTCAGTGGGCACGGCTTGTAGGGTGCAGAATTGAATGTGTACAAGGCAAGTGTTGGCTCGTGTCGGCCCCCTAGCTAGCCACATGTGAACCCAACTCTTAAGACTTGTCCAATAATTTGACATAAAATGTTTCTAGCCCCAAAAACGAAAGAAAATGTATCTTCCACCTCTAAAACTTCTTCAGCGGGAGTTTTGCCCCCAAAAATAAACTTTTTGTTCTCTGAGCCCCAAAAACACAAAGCCCAATAATTTTACACAAGTAAAGACTATAATATCCATTCTCACTCTCTCTAAGCCTACAATCCTTCTGCTCTCCCTCCTCCCTCCCCCACCTCTCCACCCGCCGCCACCACCCTCCTCCTGCCATCCTCGCCTTCTCTGCCACCGTCGCTGCGGCCATCCATAGCATCCTCAAGATCCACAACACAGAGAAAACCTGGCGCGGTTCGAGGAGTACAGAGAGATCGTCCGCTCGAGGGCCAAGCGAAACTCCGACGATGGAGGAGCTGGAGACGGAGTTCGCTTTCCTGCACGTGTTGAGTGACTGCTAGGTTTAAATCAGGTTTTCTTGGAAGGAAACATAAATGAGTAATTAGGTCTAGCGTGACAAAAAATTAAGTGGGTTGAATTTGTTAAAAACGACCATATGTTTACGTGGTGTAATTATGCTGTTAAAGATATGAGCTAGATGAGTTTAGGTGGCGTAAATGGATACACATGTTTCTGATCTGGGTGTATTTATTAGTTAACTTCATGTTCTTTTAAGTGTTTGAGTTGAGATTTTCAACCCTTCCGCCTATTCATTTTCGTGCACTTTGTCACTTTGTTACTTACCAACGCTAAAACTATTACCACCAAAAAAATTTTTAAATTAACCCAAATAAAAATATACGGGTTGATTGTTAAAATTACTCCCATTAGAATGTCCTACATTAGTTGTTAAGGTTACATGTTGGTTGTTAATGTTATACGGGTTGCTTGTTAAGGTTACGCGTTTGTTGTTAAGGTTACGGATTGGTTGTTAAGCTTATACAGGTTGTTTGTTAAGGTTACGGGTTGGTTGTTAAGGTTACGCGTTTGTTGTTAAGGTTTATGGGTTGCTTGTTATATTACACGTTGGTTGTTAAGATTACGAGTTACTTGTTAATATTACGGGTTGGTTGTTAAGGTTTGTACGTGTAAAATTTGGTTCCCGAAACAAGGATTTCGTTTGTATTGATAAGAATAGCTTATTACAAACTAATGAATCAAAATCACAATAGAAGCAGAGGGGAATGCCCTCCTTGTTTAACGTGGGGTCTTTGGTAGCGATAGGACGCTTCCCTTGGCTCTCGCACCGAGTTTGCTTCCCTTGAACGATCCGATCGAAGTTGCTGGTGAGTTTAAGTACGCAGTAGAAGCTCGTGTTGATCGAGTTCAAGTCTTTAAGCTTGATGGCGATCAAGGCCGAAAGCTAGAAGAAGGTGCTACAGTGCAGGGACTATGCAAAGAGCGGATCGCCAATCAACTGAGAAGTGAGCTAGTCAGTCGAAGAGCGAACTTCTTTCATGTAGCCAGGAGTGTCTCTTAAATAGGGAAGAGACAGCATGTCAACTCCCTTGAATCATGGTATGTGACTATGCACTGTTGAAAGATGTCATGCCTCTCACTTGTACTGTGAGCGGCTACTTGATGGGCTCGGAGTAGTGTACTCCTCCTCTTCATGTCGCGGGAAATGGGAAGGCCCATCCATGTACGTGACATCATAGCCGTCTAGTACTCTGGCGAGTTTGACGAATTTGTTGATCGCCTGGCTGATTGCTTGGATGTGCAAGCGAACTCAGCGCTCGAATGGACTTGACTTGTGCAGACGAGTCAATTATTAAAGCGAGTTTTTGATCGTCTGGTCGTGCAGGCGAATTTGGCGTTTGCGTGGACTTGACCCATGCTGGTGGGTCAAGAATGCGGACGAGTCTTGTTCGTGCTAGCGAACTCAACTCTTGAGTGGGCTTGACTCGTGCTGACGAGAGTCAAGCATGTAGGTGGAATCGAGTTCCTGATGGCGGGCTCGGCGATTAAAGCGAGCTTGTCCAGCTCCTCCGGGTGCGGGCGTACTCATACAGGCGGATTTCTATATCTTCCTATTGTCAAGGTAATTTTTATAGCCTACAAGACCCCCTTCAATGTTTTCAGACCTAAATCAAGTGACAGACGAACTTTGTAGGCGAGACTGTGCAGGCGAGTCCGCTTCATTTGGGCGAGCTTGACCAGCAGGC